TGTTTCAATGATTTGTGTCCTGGATGGCGCGAGCACCCATTTATACTGTTCTTTCTGCAGTTGCTTCTGTCCCTTGTCATTTTGGAAGCTTGATATTTGTTGTTCCTAGAGCAGAGACTCGATTAAGCTAATTGAACTTGATCTAAAGCGAACTTATTAGATTGCGATAACTGGTGATACTTTTTTCAAGGGTCGCTTGCCTTTATGTTGTCCGTATCGAGCAAACTGATTAACTCGTGGCAGCAGTTAAGATGGCAGGGCTTTAGTCGCTTTTTTTGTCATGTTACATCCTCTATATCCGGCGTGCTTCTTGTTCTGAACGCTGTCGACTGGCCGATGCTATCGTAGCATTCTTCAGAAATCGGAGGTCGAGCCGGATTTGCGCCCCGGCGATGATTGGTTGTCTGGGCGTTCTTTTCGGATGTTCAGCCGATGCTATCGTATGAAGGGCATGCCTCGTCGAACAGTATATCCGTTTTGACTCAGGCTGCCTAGCAAAGCCAAGCCCTCGCACACCCCGCTGGTTGACGCAGGCCTGTTTTTGGCTACCTCACTTTACATTTGCCAACGCTGAAAGAGGCAGAGGTGCTCGGATTTCGAGTCTTTTGACTAGTAATCAGACCGTAACATAACTTCCGGTCATTTGATTCCTGATTCATCATCAAAGCTTTTGGTGCAGTTGGTGACAGCGAGGAATTAAACTTCAGATATCTTTCGCCTCTTTATGGAAGAAGTTTTTTAATCTTATTTTTTAAAATATTCCAGGCATTGTTTTTTTTGCTGATCTCAATCTGAATTATTTGCAGCTAAATGCCCTTCAAAAATTCTCAGCTGAATTTCGGTCGTTATTCTGCTTCAGGCTTATGGATGAAATCTTCATTTTATTGCAAAGAAAGAACCACGTAGTAGAGCAGTTGGAAAATCTGGCTATTTATATGAATGGGCAAAAGAATGACGTTGTCGAGGCCGATGTCAAAGTGAACCAGAATATATCATTTTTCGATATGCATGTGAAGAGCACACCATCGCTTATCGGAAAACGACTCACGGGAACATTTTTCCCCCGAGGTGTTGTGTCCCACTCTTCTTTTCAGAAACATAATGAAAACATGCGTTTATGTAATTATGAAATACGCAGCACTGGTTCCGCTATAAATGTCGAGGTTTGACATATTTATCACGTATTTTTGAAGATGGGTATTCTAATACGACACTGAACAATGTATTCTTGCACCCCAACTGCAACCTGATGAAACCATGTCAGAACAGGCATATGGTAATTTGGCCATACGTATCCAAGGTGTCTGAGCCAATCGCAAGATACCCCAGCAACATTTGGTTTAGGGTCTACTACTAGACCAGCGTGAGTTTAGCGATGCACTTATTCAAGAAGTATGAATAAGGCATTGGATGAGGCATTGAGTGTGGCGCACCGTGTCGATTGCGGAGATTGCGATGATATACGTCGGAAAGATCTACCAAAAATGTTTTTCACGACGAATTGGCAAACATTCGTCAGTTTTGATTTGTTTTGCTTTACGTGTACATTTTCTGTTCATGGTTTATCAGCAAGTTGGTGGCTTCGAATTATACCCACAAGGTGCACACACATGACAGTATAGCGGATTCATTGCACGTTTCGGCTTGACCACACTGAAGCACTAAAATGCCCCTCTTGTTTAGTCACGCTACCTGTTTTTCGTCTGATTGCACCGAATCGCAGTGGGTTGATTTCGATGCGCAAGTGCATTAGCACTTAATGGAGAAATTTTACGTCGCACATGGGGTTAGAAGCTGGAGAATCTCAAGTTTAAAGCCAACTACTGACTCCTTTCTCTACTGCTCCCTGAATACAGTTAGACGATGGCACAGTCTGGGTTCAGGTCTGGTTTCAGCTGGACTTACGAGTCAAAATCATCTGACCCGCGTTATCGCTGTTGTGTGCTTGTGCTGAAGAACACAGTTGCCGCATGGCTGTTTTTTGTTCTCCGCCACTAACATTTTTTGTACGGTCATCCATTGCCGTCATTCTGTGGTTTGACTTTTAAAGCAATTAGTGAGGCGCAGGCGAAAATCTTCAACCTTTTCAGTTCAAGGTCTCTGCTAATGACGTTTCCACTGTTTTCGATCAATAGAGCTTTCAGCACGACCCGTTCAAAAGTGCGGTTACCGGCGTTGCAAATATTCTTGCTTCGGTGAAGTCAAAGTGATGACCAGTGGTGATTAAACGATGCAGGACCATGATATTATTCCATGTTTTCTTAAAGCCTTCTGGCCAATCGCGGTACATTTGCGCGATCATGTTCTACAGCTCTCACATGCTCGAATCACCATTTATCACCAACGTGTCGGGAGCTGCAGATCGAGCAGCTAGTTTCGTAAATAATATCTGCCACCACATCCGCTCGAGTAAGCCTTTTCACTTTCACCAGTAGAATTATTAGCTTGCCTTTTGGTTTGAAAGCCTGAAAAATTCGCACTCTGAGATCATCCTAATGGGTCCGGATAGCGCTTCGACATGCGGAAGGCAGGTGGTGGCAGCTGGTTTTTCTGCTTTCTGCCTTTTGCGTTCTAATTGTCTACTTACCGCTCTTTTGGCGAAGTTTCTTTGTACAGCCATTGCATTTCAATGCACCGTAAACATGCTGCATTTCCGTTCGAGCCATGGCTACGGAATACAGATCGCTGGATCTGTTCTTGAGGCATTTAATCACTTTGTCTTTCGCTAGTTGTTGTGAAGTGATGTGATCAGAGTTTTAGTTGCGGATGGTTGGCGTGAAATCGTTGGACAACTGTGACAACAAAAATATTTTGTTCTGTTTTCTACACTTTTCGCCTTTCAGACTATTCGTGCGCTTACCAAAAGGAAATCCTTCTTCATGGCCGAATGTACGTGTCGCAGAACTGGCTGTGTTTCTATTCGAACATTTTTCGCTGGGAAACAACGGTATGATGATTTGATCGACATCTGTACGGGTGCCTGTCATTTCAGTTGGCCATTCCGTTCAAAGACATCGTGGCAATCAAGAAGGAGAAAACGGCGAAGATCATCCCGAACGCGATCCTGGTAAGAAACGAGGCGCGTCTGATGTTTCTGTGCGCCACCGATTAAACGTAAATGCGTCATGGCGTATGGCCAACGTTGCTCTTCAGGTTTCGACCAGTGCCAACGAGAAATTGTTCTTCACATCATTCTCGGCCCGCGACAAAGCATATATGATGATCTTCAAGCTGTGGCAATACGCGCTTCTTGATCAGGTACTTAAGAGGGACGTTAAATCCAACGCCGTATAGTTGCACCGTGAGTAGTGCTGTGGCTTTCGCCCGGAGCTGATGTACGGTACTCAGCGCAGGAATAAACGTACCCGGTCATTAGTCTGCCTTTGTCTGTGGAGCTGTGGGAGGTATCAGATTCATATGGAATTTCTCTTTACAAATTAGCTTGTCATTTGATCGCCGATTTGCCGTGAGAATGCGATTCCCTTGAAAAAATTGTACTGTCTGTACTTTGGAGACTTCAGTTAAAGGGTAATCAGTCAAAATTAAGACTTCATGTAGCACCAGTGAGCGTAAAGTCATTTTCCTTTAAAAGTTGTTTGTTATATTCAGTATAATCAGCATATTAAACTATATTTAGACTGCATAACTCATATATTCCATTTGAGAGTTTATTCATTGATGCTGTAAGGTAGCCATCAATCGCAGTAGACATTTCGCACAAATAAGAAGTTCGTCTATGCACTTTGTTCTAAACATGTATCCAAACAGACATATATACATCGATTTGCATAATGATGATCTCATCCGCGACTAATTAGCAGTCATTTTTTTGTTGCGAGTGACACAGGTTGCATACCGTGCAGATTGTTTCTTACCCGTAAAAATTTATAAACCGCAGGTTTTGTACCACTGCTTGAACTGTTTATTTACCGTACGGGTGCCTTATCCAGCATATTTTAAGAAAGTACCCTTAGACATACGAACACGGTTTTTTTGACATTGTGATAAGTAAATATTGATGTTTCTAGTTTGTTCCGAATTCTGCCTGCGACTCTCTATAACTCGCTTGTTTTTTTACATGACCACCGCATAGTCGAAGGCCTTTACCTTTCTTATTCCGTACATAGGAGGGGACAGAAACAAAAGTCATTTTTAAGACCAAAAGGGATATGTTGCTGCTAACGAAATTCTCACGGAAGTAAAGCTCAAATGCGCCTTCTTTCGTGTATGCAAAAGTGTTGCACAAAATAACAGTGATCGACATTGCTTGAAGCCAAGATGTCCACCATATAGGTATGGAAGGTGTTGATTCGTTTCCTGTATCAATAACAGTTAATGGTCTTCGCTTCCTGATCCGTGACTTAAGGCAACAGTTAATAACAGTTAATGTAAAATCTTTTATTTATCGACGGGACCTTTATTAAAAGACAGTTTTGCCTAATTTTAATTATCCTCTTTATTTCCAAATTCTGTAAAAGTCAAAATGTACTCGGAGAATAAAGGTTTTCGAATCTATCACAAAATGGGTAGTTCATTGATTAGCAGATCTGCCTGAAACCTCAGCAACATGAGAGAACGAAAGAGAAAGAACGTTTTTTATAAGATTGAATTTAAGGACTGACAAAATCTGCATTGGGAAAACCGTACTGCGGTTGGATAAAAGGGCTACGGCATCTAGCAGGTCTGAGGAATGGAAAAACAGCATTTTGGTATCATTTTCGATGCCTTTTAGTTGGCACACTCCTTTAGTCCGACGAATTGGCAAGGGTCTAACAAACATTGGGCTTTTAATTAAGCAGTCTTTACGCTTCTCATTTCGGGTCGCGGAGGCAGACGCGTCAGACAGTGCTTCCAACGTTCCCGATCCTGTGCCAG